AGCCTCACTCGCACTGTCCCACTCGCATTGTCCGTCTCGTCTGCCTAATATGTTCTAAGCCGTTTAATTAGTTCCACTGACCTCCACGTAAGATTAGCATATGATGTGCATTGATTCTAAGTAATGAAATCTTACGTACAGATTTCAACGCGCGTATTGTGAGCGTAAGAATCTGGTTTTAATCCAAGAATCGAGAACAACGATACGCGACTAATAATCGTCTTATCATCTGTCCAAGTTGCGGTGGTGACAAGACCACCAATCTCACAGTCTCAGCTGGGGGTCACCGCTCAGCCTCATCATCCATCTGGGACGGAAGCGGGCAGTGATTATTATCTGATGAAGAGACCGACCCATTCCACAGGAACGTGGAGTTACCACCACCGGCTTAGGGCCCACCAATCGTGAAGAATGCAGCGGCTGTGATAATTTGGGCATTGTTGAAATGTTTCATGTGATTATTGTAACCACCAAACCCGATATCGCGGTTGTTACTGTTATTGGATAGACACGTTTCACTATGAAGTTGTATAGACACAAAGACAAAGATCACCCATACTGCCTTCACAGACTTTTGGGGCAAGTGCTGTTAGCGAGCACCTATGAAGGCCGACATTGCACATGAGGGGGTGGGTGACCAGCACCACGCCCGGCCGCCTTTGTCTCCAATCCCTAGTAGTGGTGTTTTACACACCGCACCAGGTACTCATTTGAGGCTGAGTCGACTCAGCCTCAAATGAGTAACTCAAACACACACACCCAGACAAACACAGTCAGACACACTCACACGTACACAGGCACACACACACTCGGACACACTCAGACAAACACACTCAGACACACTCACATACACACACAGGCACACACACACACACTCAAACACACTCACACACACACTCGGACACACTCACACACACTCAGGCACACACACACTCACACACACTCACACACACACACACTCGGACACACTCACACACACACACAGGCACACACACACTTGGACACACTCACACACACACTCGGACACACTCACACACACACACTCGGACACACTCACACACACTCACGCGCGCACCCATGACCACCAAATGCAACAAACGCACCCAATTCATACGCAAACAATCCATAACCACTCGTCTCTGCTCGACCTATGGAGATGCCAGCAAAATGAGAGTGGCGCCCGAGACGCGTCAATGGAGTCCCCCCCCCCCTCCCCCCCCCAGGGGAATTGTGACGGTCCGAGTCCCGGACAACCCTTGGCCGTCGATCACCGATCACAGCCCCCCGCCCCGGTTCCTGTCTCTCTCTCTCTCAGGGGTTCTACGAGATTCCAGCGGGCGATTTCGTCTCCCGTTCAAAAACACTAACGTGTGTGCGTGCTTTCTTGTCCAATTAGCGAGCGGTCCGACTGATACGTCACCGTTTGCGTGCAAGACGAACAAAAATGGTCGCCCCACCAAGAATCGTCGCCTGTTCACGGGAGAGATGCAATCCCGCGGAATTTGGCATCTCCCGTCGTGTTGATGCGCAACCGTAAAGTCACGTAGGTATCAAATAAAATAAATCACGACGTTTCGGGCGCAACACAAGCGTCCGAAACGTCGTGATTTATTTTATTTTCTACCCACGTGACTTTACCGAAAGAACCAAAGGGTATGGATTCCTGCAGTCACGAAAGCTTCAAATCAAGATTGAAGAGTCCAAGTTTTGTGAACGAGGAGGACGGCCAGCGGCATCGCGCGGCGCTTTCGGATGCACTCCTGCGGCCGTCTGCAACGCTCTTCCTCCTCCCGCTGTTAGGAAGCCGCTGGAGCCTGTGGACTTTTGAATCGAGATTGACAAACTCATTTCCTTTGAAGTGCTTTTTGTCTTGAGTTTGTGTTTCCCCCGCACGTCAGCATACGGCAACATACTCGAAAGCAGAGTCTCATCAAGAAGGTGCCGACATTCGGGCAACGGGCACGCGCTTCCTGCGCGCCACCCAAACCGCGGTTTTCGTCCTTGTCGACTGCGAAAAGCTCTCGCACGCGTCGACGACGACGCTTCTTCACGCGAAGAAATACGACGGCTTCAACACTTTCGTTTGTATTTTTCCCTAACAGCCATGAGCCGTGAGCGTGGCGGTGGCGTCGAGCCCGACGGGGCATCGCTCTTGGCGGTGACGTCACAAAAGCTCGTCCGATCTGCTTTCACGTTTCTTTACGTTCTTCTTGTTCATTCTTCTTTCTCTCCTTTAGACTTAAAACTTTCGTGACTGCAGGAATTCATATTCTTGGTTCTTGCGGTAAAGTCACGTAGATAGGAAACAAAAATGAAAAGCTTGTGTTGCAATCGAAATGTCGTGGGTTTTTTGCTTTTAAGTTTTGTTTTCTATCTCAGTGACCTTTACCGAAAGAACCAAGAATATATATATTTATTTCCTCTCCTTATTCTCCTTCTTCTTTGACTTTCTTCCTTTTATTTTAATCTTCTTATTTTTATTCTATTTTTATTCTTATTTTTCTCTTATTCTCTTCTTTTTCTCTTCTTCTTTTTCTTCTTAATTTTCATCTTCTTTCCCTCTTCTTATTTATATTTTCTTCTAATTTAGATTTTCTTCTTTTAATTTTTCTCTTCTTCTTTTACTTCTTTTTTTTCGTCTGCCCATTCGCGAAATCTCTCTGCTCGTGTCGGACAGCCGGAAACACGCAGCCTCGGCGCGGGTCTAAAAACGTTGTTCACTGCTCTCTTCGGCTTGCACATTCGTGAAGTGATTTTTGCCATTTATTCAAAAGGCATTTTTTGCTCTCTCGCCATCCCGCTGCATTGAGTTGCTGCTGCGATTTGAACGGCGATGTGACAGTTTTTATTTCCCGACCGGAGCCGTCTGCGATCGGATGGAATTTGTCACATGCTGCTTATTCCTCGTCCTGTAAATGCATTTACTGCACGTTTATGTTGGGAAAACATGTACATGACATCTACATTCGTATCCTGTTTGTGTGCAGGAGTTATTTTTTGAAGCATGATATGTTAACTACTTTGCCGGGTATACAAGAGATCGTGGCTTCGATGCCGACTCTGACGACGCCTGTATATTTAGGAGTTTGCATGCTCTCCTCGTGGTCGGGTGGATTGTTCTCCAGGGCCTCTGGTTTCTCCCTCCACATTTGTAAATGTGCTGATTAGAGTATTTGACCGCTACAAATGTTCCACGCGATAAGCCACTTGTCGAGTTATCCTTTGTGGCCAGTGTATAGCTCAGTGTGCCCTTACCTAGTAAAATAAAAACAGTTCGTGGATATTTGTTTTTATTTAGCTCTTGCATGATGGACGAGTAGCCCAAGTAGCCACAGTAGGGGCCACACAGAGCTCGCTCCCGTAGCGGTCCATCCACCAGAAGCGAAACCTTGACCTCTGACATTGTCATTGGCTGTTTCAGCATCTTCTCGGTTCTTTCGGTAAAGTCACGTCTGAATTCAGACGCTGTCTCCCTGACAGACCTGGTCTTCACCTGAGGACGGCTGCTTGCGTTGTGGCCGAAACGTCGTGAGAATAATTTTATAATGTTTTATTTTATTATTTTATTATTTCCATTCTACGTGACTTTACCGAACGAACCAAGAAGATGAATCCCTGCAGTCACGAAAGCTTTAAATCGAAATGTTTCAGCATCGTTTTACACATTGTACCCCCAAGCCCCCCTAACACTTCCCCGCACGAGGAAGCCAACGGTCCCACCAGCGGAGCGAACGCTGCGACTCCGCACTACGAGCCCCGATCTCGCACGCGTGCGCGCTGAATGAACAAGTGAATTACACGTTATCACTCAAACACAACATTCACCGAGTCTTACGATGCGTTTTTTTTCCCCCCTCCTTCTCGTCTTCCAGAAGACCCTGCGTTGCCGTGACGTCGGATGGACGTGCAGTCAAGAGCGGCGACTCCGTAACCGTTGTGTTTTATTTAGCACCGCTTCTACGCTGCATGGGGCCACACACCTGTCCATCACCCCTCATATACATCGCGTGTATGACAGGCAAGTAGCCAGAGAATGTCTCTCTGACCGCTTGGCTTGATAGACACGCTGGCAGACTGTCAGACAGACCGACACAAAACAAAGACAAAGATCCCCCGTATGGCCTGCAACAGACTCTTGGGGCAAGTGCTGTTAGCAAGCACCTATGAAGGCCGGCACGGCACGCGAGGGGGTGGGTGGCCAGCACCACGCCCGGCCGCCTTTGTCTCACCAGTGGCGATGTTTACACACCGCACCAGGTACTCATTTGAGGCCGAGTCGACCTAGGGGAGGCCAAGGATCGGTTCAGATAATCGTCACTGGTGTTGGCCGTGAGCGGGAATCGAACTCGGGTCGCCAGGTTTGTAGCGCAGCGTAGCGCTGACCGTTACGCCACCGCTCCCCACCAGACTGGCACACACACAGAGCGACACACGCAGCTAACAGGCAGACACATTGACACGTATTGACGCACAGACGGACACACAGACGGACGCACAAACAGTTAGAGAATATGGACATATTGATAGAGATGCAAACATAAACAGGCTGACAGAGACACAACACAAACAGACTGACACACAAAAATAAAAACAAACACAAGTGCTGTTAGCGAGCGCCTATTAAGGCCGGAACGGTACACGAAGGGGTGGTGTGGCCAACACCACGCCCGGCCGCATTTGCCTCCCCAGTGCCGATGTTTACACACCGCACCGGGTACTCGTTAAGGCTGAGTTAACCTCGGGGAGGCTCAGCACCGGTCCAGATAATCGTTATTGGTTGCCGTAAGCGGGAATAGAACTCGGGTCGCCGGGTTCCTAGCGCACTAACAGCTACACTACCGCTCCCCATACGTACACACGCACACGACACGCACACGACACGCACACGACACGCACACGACACGCACACGACACGCACACGACACGCACACGACACGCACACGACACGCACACGACACGCACACAAGCGCGGAGGACGCAGACGCGCTGGGATGGCTGACCTGCGAGACAGTGATGCCGCATTTTTTCGCCAGCTCCTCCTTGGCCTCCTCGCTGGGGTAGGGGTTGCTCAGGTGCGAGTAGAAGTACTCGTTGAGAATCTCTGTCGCCTGCTTGCTGAAGTTGCGACGCTTGCGTCTGCGCAAAACACCAAAGCAGGCAGCAGCAGCAGCGGTTAATTACGCATCACACGGTCACGAGATGGGGCTCAGCTCGATTTTGTTTGCGACTTTCGATAACGTCACAAATGCGATCAATGCGGAATGCGGTGGAGGGAAGCTAAACTAACTGTACTAAACTAAACTTTTAATTTTTAATATTAACTAAACTTTACATTTTTAATATTAACTAAACTTTTAATTTTTAATATTAACTAAACTTTACATTTTTAATATTAACTAAAGTTAACTTTTTCCTTTTAATATTAACTAAACTTTAAATTTTTAATATTAACTAAACTAATCTTTACTTTTTTATATTAACTAAACTAAACTTTATATTTTTTAAATTAACGAAACTAAACTTTTTATTTTACCAGGATAAGGCCCACTGAGCTGTATAGCTCTTTTTCAGAAGCGAACTGGCCACAAATGATAGCCCAACGAAGTGGCTTCTCACGTGGAAATGTATAGCAGCCAAATACTCTAAATGCGTGATGTTGATTCTAAATGTTGGTGGAAAAAACCGGAGTACCCGGAGAGAAATCCAGACGACCACGGAGAGAGAGAGGCACGCAAACTTCAAATATACAGGCGTCAGGGTCGGGATTGAACCCACGACCTCCTGCATAACAGGAGAGGTAGTTAACATCTTGCCACGAATCGATGACCCACTGCCACCCTTCCCCCCCATGATTTGGGGCTATAATATGACGCTATCGCCGCTCGGATGGATGCGTGTGAAATCAATAGCGGAGGTGGTGGTGGCGCAGCTTGTTGCAATGCGTTGTGCCAACTGGGTAAATTTGTGGTTACGTTTTCAGCGTTGGAATCTTTTTAAAATCCCCCCCTCCCCGCCTTCCAAACCAGGGTGAATAGAATGTTGGAAACAGCCCGAGAGTGAAGAAGTCGACCTCGCGTTTTTGTTCGCAATAGCGCATTGTACCGTAATTGCTCGCACTGCGTGAGCACGCTATTCATAGCAGAGGAATTCATTAGTGACAATAAAATGCAATCAGACGAATACAGTCCACAATCAATGGAACAGCACGTGTTGCCAAGAGCTGCTCAAGTAAATCACAGATATGTACGAAGGATTTGGCAAAAATAACCACGGACAAAAGCGAAACTTACGGAGAACTCTTCGGGCAGCGGGAGAAACATTCCGTGCCGACCGGCGCGCGCCCGCCTACTGCGAACCCCCCTCCACCCTCTCTCGTATCTGACGCACTCGTGACCGAACGCGGGAGCGCGCGGATTTATTTTGGAACGTCCCACCTCCTGTGGAATTAGCGGGGCTCGTGCAAGGGGGCGGCGGGGTAGGCGTAGCCTTCCCTCATTTGTAAATTCCGCAGTTGGAGAGACCCCTGCCAGCAATGGTGCATTACCTTGACGTGTTCCCCGCGACGCTTTTGTTTTAATTACTGTTATTACGCACAACGTTAACGCCGACGCCTCCGCCGGCGCCGTGATTACAACGCGGCATTCGAGATATTTCATCGCCGCTTTTTTCCCGTGTTCACCGTCTAAGCGGCCGGGCGGCCCAGCGGCAGAGCTGGCGAGGGTGCGAGCGAGCGAGGGGACTCGCAGCAATCGGAAAGTTCAGAGTTCAAATCCTGGTTGAGGGCCGTTGACTCAGCCCATCGGCCCTCTGGGGTCGATACAATGAGTCTCGCACGGTGGGGAAGACGACAGCAGCCGTGATTGTCCATGGGTAGAATGGCCCCAACCATGAGGGAATTTACACCACAGGCTCTGCAGAATTATCAACAGGAAATGAGCACCAGTGCCTCGTTGCTGATTTGAGCAACGGGAAATCACTCACTTTGACTTTGGTCATTTATCGTCTTATGGACTTTTTGTAGTCAAGGGTTTCTTACTTATTAGCCGGCAATGTCACCTATCTGATTGTTTACAAACCGACACTTCCCTGAATGGCCTCCATGTGACTCGTGCGTCTCTGGACAAATCAGGAGCACAAGTACGCACAAAGATAAAGATCCCCCATATAGCCTTAACAAGGCCGCAACGGTACACGAGGGGGTGGGTGGCCAGCACCACGCCCGACCGCCTTTGTCTCCCTAGTGGTGATGTTTACACACCGCACCAGGTACTCATTAGAGGCTGAATCGACCTAGTAGAGGCCCAGGACCGGTTCAGATAATCGTCACCGGTGTTGGCCATGAGCGGGAATCGAACTTGGGTCGCCGGGTTCATAGCGCAGCGCGCTAACCGCTACACTATCGCTCCCCACAAGTACGCACACACACACATGCACTCACATCTCCCATCTCTCTCTACTGAATGCATCTCATATCTCTCTTTCATAATAGAGGTTTTTGGGTTAGATCGCGTAAATATATAAATGTGTGGTTAAAACCCGCCACCACCCGACACAGCCAACTAGTAAGGGTTGTCGCGTAAACAGAACGTGCCCAATTCGTCACTAGTACAGCACCAAACGGTGTGTTGGAGAGCAAAGCCACAAAATTTATAATCTGAGTTGAACGTTTCGCCAGTAATTACAACTAGCTTCATCAGGCGACAGCCAGATTTGTGGAGAAATCCTCCTGTTCAGTTTCTTATTGGTATGTTCTGTTTACGTGACAAATCTTACCAACTCGGTGGTGGCGGGTTTAACGACACATTTATATATTTACGCGATCTAACCCAAAAAAAACCTCAATTATGGATTATATTGGTTGCGAAAGACTACTACGTGCTAAATCCTATCTGTCTATATCTTGGTTCTTAAGTGACTTTACCGAAAGAACCAAGAATATAAATTTCTGCAGTCACGGAAGTTTTAAGTCCTATCTGTCTCTTATTTATTCTCAATACATCTCCTCTTCTTTTGAATACATCTCAAATCACTCTCGTCTCTCCTATCTTTATTCTGAATGCATCTCTTTGGTATTCTTACCACATCTCCCATCTCTTCTCATCCGAATACGTTTCCTCTCTTTCTTCAGAACACACCTCCCATCATCTAAACGAAATGTAAAACTTTGACCAGGTAAGGCCCACTGAGCTGTATAGCTCTTTTTCAGAAGCGACCTGGCCACAAATGATAGCTCAACGAAGTGGCTCACCATGTGGTAATTTATAGCAGCCAAACACTCGAAACGCGTGATGTTGATTCTAAATGCAAAGGGACAAATCGGAGGACCCGGAGAAAAATCTACGCGATCACAGGGATAGAGAGAGACACGCAAACTCCAAATATACAGCAACAGCAGGCGTCAGGGTCGGTATCGCACCCACGACCTCCTGCACACCAGGCGAGGTGGTTACCGCCTCGCCACCGTTTCCCGCCGGGCGGCTCTCACCGTGCGTCGAGGAACCGAGAGCGCAGGATCATGACGGCCTCGCAGGTGCTCTGCTTGAGCTGCATCTGGATGGAGCTGAACTTGCGGTGGATGATGCCCACCATACGCTCGATCTCCTTGGGCGAGATGGGCCGCGTGCGGCTCTGCTCCCGCAGCAGGTTCATGACGTGCGTCGTGAACTCGTTGCACGCCTGCCGCACGATGTCCAGGGTTGGGGGGGGTGGAGGGGTAGGCGGTGGGGGCGGGGGGGGTATCGTGACACCAACGTCAGCACCGTCGCATCGTCACCATCGTCGTCGTCATCGGCGGCATCGTCGCGATCGCAGCCCTCCCGTGCGTGTTTGTTGTTGTCATCATTTGGCACGATGCCCGACGTTCCGCTCCTCGTGCTCGGAGCTTCTTCCACAACGGAATCGAGCTGCTGCTCATGTTCAATTGCCGGCCGCTGCCGCTGATGTAGGCCGGCCCAATTTCACTTATTTAATTTCTCCAATTGTTATGATGGTGATGATGCCATCATCAACATTATTGTTTGGACAACATACTCTTATATTGTATCATTGTTTGTTTGTATGTTTTGCCACAAGTACATGTGGTTAATGCAGACTTGACGCCTTGCAATAGGTATCGATTTGGTGTTTGAACATCTTAACACATGTCTTATTTTTTCATCACAATACACTCTTATTTACCATCAGCATGCCTGTCAACCCCTTACCAGTGCCCTACCTTCTAACAGACCAATTCAGACCATATTGGTCTCCCCGTGCCCTTATAACATCTCAACGTTCATCCTACAAAGTCCCATCACAAGGGAGAAAAACAAACAAATAGACACATTTTTTTTGCTCGTATTGAAACGGCTGTACACCGTGTGGACCTGAAAACTCAATTTCCCTGTGCAAGATTACGGAGGAAACCGTGTGGGTTGACAGCATCGCTATTTATGGAGTACCATCACTTTCATCATCATGATCATCCTTTATACACAAGACAATATTTATCAACATAATTTATACGATGGAGTACCTTTACCATTAGCAAGATCATGATCATCATTTATACATCAGGTGACTTCTACTTTTACCATCGTCATCATAAATTCCATATTGAAATCTATGCTAACATTGCTGTTACCATATAACCCACCACCTTTCCATCATCATCACCATCACCGTCATCATCATCATTACTACCATCGCAAAAAATCCATCATCGTAACCACCGCCACCGTCGCCGTCGCATCCACTTCCTCACCGTCGCTCGTTCAACTCCACCTTTACCACCAACGGCTACCACCACCACCGCCACCACCGCCACCGCCGCAGCCGCCACCGCCGCCGCCGCCGCCGCCGCCGCCGCCGCCGTGGCGACGAACGTGAAAGCCCGCCGCCACGGACGCGCGTGTCTGTGAACCTGCGTAAGTTTCAAAGCCACTGACCATCCTCACCTGCTCGTACTTCTCCAGCTCCGTGTGGTAGATCTGCCGGATCTGGGCGAGCTTGGCGCGGTAGTCCGAGTGCTCCGCCGAGTTGTCGGCGTTGGCGCCGCCGGCCACCGCCGCGGCCGCCGCGGCCGCCGCAGATCCCCCGCCCTTCTCGGGACCCGCCACCCCCTCAGCCAGCAGCATGTTGTCAAGACGCATGAGCTGGGGGTCCGGTGGGTCGTCGTCCTGAGCCCCCCGGATACTGAGCACTGCACGCGGCGAAGGGGGTTGGGGGAGGCGGAGGGAGAGGCGTGCGGAAAGCCGTGGTGGAGGTATAGGGGAGGTGACGGGGGCACGGGAACGTAAAGGGATGTGTGGAGAGCCGTGCGGAAGTAATGATGGGTAGAGGGTGGTGTAGGGAGACATGGAGAGGCAGAGGGAGGTGTGGGAACGTGTTGGGAGAGACAAAGAATGACAGGAGGTAACCTGTTAATAACATTTCAACGCAAGTTATTTTGGACAACGATTGATACGCTGACATGCTGCAAGTGGTTTATTGTTACGCTGTTATTGTTTACTTCAGCAATAGCGTTGCATTGTAATATATTACATTTGTGTTGAAGAGAAAATACTGTACGATTAATAGAAATAACAATACAACGTTGCTTACTAATGAATAAGGTTATCACCTATAAATATTGTGGAGTGCGTGGCGTAACATTGAGTATAACCACACCAATACCAGCGGCATACCAACAATAACATTTCAACAACCAATACATAATCAACAAAGCCCCATCACAGCATCACCACATTCACCACAATAACCATCACCACATTCACTACCACCACCACATTCACCACAACCATCACACTGCCCACAACAACCACCACCATATTGACCACAACAACCACCACCACCATATTGACCACAACAACCACCACCACATTCACACAAGCTGCATCTCATTGCGGTAAACGTTCGCAATGAGTTTATTTTAAAACAGGTGAACAGCCCACCGAGACAAACGCATCCATGTGCTCGAGGGTAGACTAATTCGCTCTAAATACCAAAAGCGGAATATTCCACTTACTTTGCTAATTAAAGCCATCCGAGTGAAGGGAACGAACGCGACTTCAAGGGTGTTTTATGAAACGACGGAAAAAAATCGAACGGTGCAAAAAAAAAAAAATGCAAAGTACAAAATCTAATTAAAGCGTCAACAGCAACTAAATGAGGTGCACAAACAATAACGTCAAACGCTCGGTAATGACTCGAAAATAAGATTCGACGTGCAAGGTGAAAAAAGCCCCGGCGCGGAAACGCGAACGGATATTTATTTCACGTAAAATGAATAACAACCAACCGTGTGTACAATGCCCGCAGGCGCGCGCGTACTCACGCCTGCGGTGGGCGGGAAGGAGACGGGTCCCCGTGCCTCATTTTGCATCTAATTGTGGCCTTCAGCCAGGCTTCAGTCTGGCAGGAAGCTACTCACCCGCTCGCGTGCGCAATACAACAATCAACCTCTGCTCTGTATCACCGCGGAGCCAACGTAGAATATATTTTAGTGTAAAATGCGCCGTTGGCCTTCTTCTACACTTGCATTAACCAGCAGCATTTGTTTAAACGTATACACTCGTCAGGCTTGCTAAACAAAACACTGTGGGTTTAACAGATGCTCATTATGGTAAAAGCGTTCCCATTAAATATAACAAAAGTAACATTTACTAATAGCGCTCAATGTGCCTTTGTGACAGGGTCACTTTTGCCTCAACGTCTAAAGACCTGTTCCTTTGTCAAGGAGGTGTGTTGCCGGCCGTGGGCGCGACGTTGAGAAAGGAAGGTGCCAGGAGGCGGTGGAACGTTCTGAGACGAGGTCTGTTGCGTCGAACGGAGAAGATCAGTCACACAGAAGGAAATAGTGGGGCGGAATTGCCAGAGCGGGCTCAGGAGGACGCAAGGCTTGTTTGGAACAATTTAGAGAAGGCCCCGAGACCTTGAGTGGGATAATCGTCAGAGGGGAAGGCTTGGTGGTGGAACACTCCGGAAGGATGGGCGCTTGGGAAGAGGCCACGAGGTAGAAAGCGGGAAGACGCCGCTCGACGGCTCCGGTTTCCTCCCACTTTTCACCGCTAATTAATGCGGCTCAAAACATCTCAGTATACCGAGGACTACAGAGCTTGGGCACCGGCTCACCGCCTGGCTGCCAGCTTCTCAGCTCATCTGTGGTTCCTCTCCACACCTCTGCGTCCTTTTCTCTTCGAGAGTGAGCGAGCGAGCGATCGCAGTGCTGCGGCAGCGGCTGCACCGTCACTTACCGCGTTAAGGTAAATCTCTAACGAACGACGTTCTTTGAAAGCGCGACATCATCGCCGCGACATCATCGCCGCGACGTCGCTGTGGATACGAGCGAAGCTGCGCGACTACGGAGACTCGGCCCGCGACATCATGCGTTCAGTCACTTCTTTATGCCGGCGACCTTTGCAACGCAAATCGGCCACGACATGCGACCTCCTCAACCGCAAATGGGAGATGCGTAATTGTAAAATGGGGAGGGGAGGGGGGAGGGAAGGGTGGGGAAGGGAGAGAGGCAGGGGGAAGGGAGGGGGCCCAGCCATAGGAGCAGAAGTAACGTCCCGTTGCGCCGAGACCGACGAGCGGTTGGAGGACAGCACGTGCTCGTTGGCGTTTTGAAAAGTCTGTCTTTGATCGAAGTCGCGGCGCCAAACAAGCGTTTGGTCGTGTTCATCTCCATCGGTGTCCCTTTGAGCCACTGGTGGAAATTCCACATTTCTATGGCGATTGTTCCAAAACGTTCCAAGCAAAGTCTGGTTCTGAGATCACATTTGTCACCGTTTGCTCATTTCTGTAGGAGCGGAAGCTAGCAGGCAGACACTCTGCCCACACACATATATATAGTGCACACTGCACTACGAACCCAGAAACCCAAGCTCGATACCCACGACGGCAACCATGAGTGATATCCGAACCGCACTACTGACCAGCGTGGTGAAGTACAGTCAAACAAACTCCTCCAATGGCAAAAGGGCTGTAAGCATGCAGTGATATTGCAACGCCATGGCACTGACAATTCCACATAGTGTGTACAACCGCACACAAAGACAAAGACCTCCCCGTATAGCCTGAACAGACTTTTGTGGCAAGTGTTGCTAGCGAGTACCTTTGAAGGCCGGCAGTGCACAGAAAGCGGATGGGTGGCCAGTACCATGCCGGGTCGCACACATACTCAAGACACTCACACACACCCATCCACCCGCACTCACCCACACACACATAAACCCCTTGGCCAAGATGCCACTTTGCGTAATCCACTTTGATGCAAATGTTTTCTGTTGCGAAACAAAAACACAAATAAATAAAAATACATCTGGTCTCGGGCTGCCCCCCGCTTTGATGGAGACTTGCAAGGAGGGAGACATCATGCCTGCATCAGCCTCACTAATGTCAAGTGACGTCACGCATAAGGTCAGGTCATATCCGAAGACCTTCACTCGAAGGCAAACGTTGCTTTCCATTGTTCCTGCGGTGGAACGAACCTCAGCGCGACGACAGAACAATACGGAACACCGCGCGCTCCTCTTCCCCCCCCCCCCTCTCGCCTGCACCTCTTCCACTCTCGCCAACGCCGGCGTCTGTGACTTCGTCATTCGCCGACGGGGGTGGGGGGGGGGGATGCCGAAAGGCGGGAAAGCGCGCGCGTCCTCCCACGTTTTCGTTCGGTTCTTTCGTGCGTGCGACCCCGTCCAGCCCGGAGCGTTGCGGTTCGCGGGGCGGGAGGGCCCCCCCCCTCCCCCACCGAGGCTTCGCGTCCCTCTTTCGTAAAAGGGGCGGCCTGCGTCTGCAGGCGACGGTGGCCTCAGTGCAGCAGTCCGGGACTAGCGGACGGGAGCTATGACAAAATGACGGAGGGATGATTTAAAATCGCGCGGCGTAAAACGATCAAGAGGCGGGGGCAAGTGCTCAGTGTCTTGTTCACAGTGCCCCGACACAATTATGGAAATGGCACATTCCTTCAGCGGGGCCTTGTCTCTCCACTGGACAACGACTGCGCAATTTCCGTTGAGCGGCATTTATTTTACCTACCCTAGAAGTGCGACGGGCGGGAATGAATCTCCAACTCGGATGTGAGCCATAGCTTCAAACCGCTGTGCTGCACACTTGGTCGGATAAATCAAACTCCCTCTACCAGTGCTAAATTGTACACACACACACATCTGAATGATCTTATAACGTGTTGTAATGCTCGCCCTGCGGTGCCTAAATAGGCTTGCTGTGGGGATTGGGGAAGACAATTGGCTTTCCAACAGAGGGCACTGCGTAGTTCATCCCGTCCCGGTGTCTGCGTGCGTGTGTCTGTGCAGCAATGTACACACACGTGGGGAGCGGTGGTGTCGCGGTTAGCGAGCGGCGCTTCGAACCGGGCGACACGAGTTCGATTCCCGCTCGTGGCCAACGCCAGTGACGATTATCTGAACCGGTCCTGGGCCTCCCCTAGGTCGATTCAGTCCCAAATGATTACCTGGTGTGATGTGTAAACATCGCCACTAGGGAGACAAAGGCGGCCGGGCGTGGTGTTTGCTACCAACCCCCTCGTGAGCCATGCCGGCCTTCATAGATGCTCGCTAACAGCACTTGCGCCAAACAGTCTGTTGCAGGCTATATGGGGTATCTTTGTCTTTTGCACAGAAATGTGTAGGTCCACTCAGCCTCTGAGTACCTGGTGCCATGTGCAAAAACATCGCCACTGGGGAGACAAAGGAGGCCGGGCGTGGTGTTGGCCACCCACACCCTCGTGTGCTGTGCCGGCCTTCATAGGTGCTCGCTAACATCACCCGCCCCCAGTAGTCTATGCAGGCTCCACGGGATGATATTTGTCTTTGTACAGCGACGTGGGGCCGTGGGCGCTTCAACACAACGACCCGGCGCTGTGGCAGCCAAAGCGGCCTCACGCGCTAATGGCAGCCTTACTAGTTTATACTAATGGGCTAATTACCCAGCAGACACGGCAACGCTGGGCCAACGTTGGCGAGTGGTCAGAACCGTTGGACCAACGTTGGCCCAAACGTTGGCGCAACGTCCCACGCCTAAATGGGTCTTACTCATAGGTGACTATTTAATTGCCAGTTTAAAATGGTATCGGCAAGACACATTTCAAAATGTAATTCTCATCGGGCCCCGCGGCGTCAAGTGCCGTTTTCCAACTCTCTCCATCTCTGTGGCTTCTCGAAGTATGTGCTATGGACA